ATGTGCCACTTTTGACATGCCGGTTCATTGCCTTTCCCATCGATGAACCGGGCTGAGATTTGGTCTACCCCCCATTTTCGGGTATGCTGAATCTAGAAATAGTAATGAACCAGCGATCGGACATTCCTATCAAAAGTTATGGCGAAGTGAAAATTTCCCATTGAAAATGAATGGGAGCGGAAAAATGGCCAAAGTCAGTGTTTGCAAGTGTTGTACTTGTCTGGAACTGTTGAAAATGCATTGTGAGCACGTTTCAGGCCATTTCCTGTCATTTGAGGGCGACTTTGCAAAAAGGGGTGTCATACCGCTTTTGACCAGAGGTGGTGCCGCACATGTCCGACGGTTAGGGTTAGGGTGAGACTTTGGGCAAGGGGTTAGGGTTAGGGCTGGAGCTCTGGTTAGGGTTAGTTGTGGAGCTAGGGTTAGGGTTAGGGTTGGAGCTAGGGTTAGGGTTAGGGTTGGAGCTAGGGTTAGGGTTAGGGTTAGGAAAATGTGAAGATTTTCCCAAAATCTGAAGATTTTCCTAAGTGCGGACCCAATTTTTCACCTTCCAGAATTGTGTTAGGAGCACGTTTCAGGCCACGGGGAGTCCATAGAACCTGATTCTGGGTGAAGTTTTCGGGGGTTGGAGCTTTGGGGCAGGATATAGGGATATGTGCCACTTTTGACATGCCGGTTCATTGCCTTTCCCATCGATGAACCGGGCTGAGATTTGGTCTACCCCCCATTTTCGGGTATGCTGAATCTAGAAATAGTAATGAACCAGCGATCGGACATTCCTATCAAAAGTTATGGCGAAGTGAAAATTTCCCATTGAAAATGAATGGGAGCGGAAAAATGGCCAAAGTCAGTGTTTGCAAGTGTTGTACTTGTCTGGAACTGTTGAAAATGCATTGTGAGCACGTTTCAGGCCATTTCCTGTCATTTGAGGGCGACTTTGCAAAAAGGGGTGTCATACCGCTTTTGACCAGAGGTGGTGCCGCACATGTCCGACGGTTAGGGTTAGGGTGAGACTTTGGGCAAGGGGTTAGGGTTAGGGCTGGAGCTCTGGTTAGGGTTAGTTGTGGAGCTAGGGTTAGGGTTAGGGTTGGAGCTAGGGTTAGGGTTAGGGTTGGAGCTAGGGTTAGGGTTAGGGTTAGGAAAATGTGAAGATTTTCCCAAAATCTGAAGATTTTCCTAAGTGCGGACCCAATTTTTCACCTTCCAGAATTGTGTTAGGAGCACGTTTCAGGCCACGGGGAGTCCATAGAACCTGATTCTGGGTGAAGTTTTCGGGGGTTGGAGCTTTGGGGCAGGATATAGGGATATGTGCCACTTTTGACATGCCGGTTCATTGCCTTTCCCATCGATGAACCGGGCTGAGATTTGGTCTACCCCCCATTTTCGGGTATGCTGAATCTAGAAATAGTAATGAACCAGCGATCGGACATTCCTATCAAAAGTTATGGCGAAGTGAAAATTTCCCATTGAAAATGAATGGGAGCGGAAAAATGGCCAAAGTCAGTGTTTGCAAGTGTTGTACTTGTCTGGAACTGTTGAAAATGCATTGTGAGCACGTTTCAGGCCATTTCCTGTCATTTGAGGGCGACTTTGCAAAAAGGGGTGTCATACCGCTTTTGACCAGAGGTGGTGCCGCACATGTCCGACGGTTAGGGTTAGGGTGAGACTTTGGGCAAGGGGTTAGGGTTAGGGCTGGAGCTCTGGTTAGGGTTAGTTGTGGAGCTAGGGTTAGGGTTAGGGTTGGAGCTAGGGTTAGGGTTAGGGTTGGAGCTAGGGTTAGGGTTAGGGTTAGGAAAATGTGAAGATTTTCCCAAAATCTGAAGATTTTCCTAAGTGCGGACCCAATTTTTCACCTTCCAGAATTGTGTTAGGAGCACGTTTCAGGCCACGGGGAGTCCATAGAACCTGATTCTGGGTGAAGTTTTCGGGGGTTGGAGCTTTGCGGCAGGATATAGGGATATGTGCCACTTTTGACATGCCGGTTCATTGCCTTTCCCATCGATGAACCGGGCTGAGATTTGGTCTACCCCCCCATTTTCGGGTATGCTGAATCTAGAAATAGTAATGAACCAGCGATCGGACATTCCTATCAAAAGTTATGGCGAAGTGAAAATTTCCCATTGAAAATGAATGGGAGCGGAAAAATGGCCAAAGTCAGTGTTTGCAAGTGTTGTACTTGTCTGGAACTGTTGAAAATGCATTGTGAGCACGTTTCAGGCCATTTCCTGTCATTTGAGGGCGACTTTGCAAAAAGGGGTGTCATACCGCTTTTGACCAGAGGTGGTGCTGCACATGTCCGACGGTTAGGGTTAGGGTGAGACTTTGGGCAAGGGGTTAGGGTTAGGGCTGGAGCTCTGGTTAGGGTTAGGGTTAGGGTTAGGGTTAGGGTTAGGGTTAGGGTTAGGGTTAGGGTTAGGGTTAGGGTTAGGGTTAGGGGTTAGGGTTAGGGTTAGGGTTAGGGTTAGGGTTAGGGTTAGGGTTAGGGTTAGGGTTAGGGTTA